GTCACCGTGGTAATGAAACGGTTCAAGTGTTAATGAAGTTTTACACACTGGCCAAGAAGTTAAAGACTGTTTCCTAAAAGAACACTCTCTCCTATTTATACCTTTCCTTTCTGCTAAAGCAGTGGTTGCAAGAAAAGGGTGTGGTGAACAATTATACACTTCTATGTGTTATGTTTTAGTTCTAACATACCAAAAGAAAAAAAAAAAAGATTTCAATGGGTATGACTCATTTTTCCAGGGCTTGTTAAAAAACAATAAAATCCCAGCTGTCTGTGAACATCAGTCACTACAACAGTCTGAAAACTCTCATGTCTTTTAGAGATTACACTTGTTTGGTCTCGGATAAAAGTTCTCAGAATCACAAAGACAATCACACACCTTTATGTACTTCACACCCGGTGCCAGAATCTAACACTTGCTGAGGCAAAAAAGGGGGGTTACACCAACAAACACACACCTACAATACACAAAGCTCTGCCACATGTTTTAGGGATAGAGAAAGGAGGAAAATGAGAGTGATAAAGTAGAATAGCTAATTATTAAATTGCACAGACCTGCCCTGCAGTGGCCCCTCTTCTTCAACCATCTGACAAAGTCCCTTAAGAAGCAGTTCAGACTTGTTTAAATTGAAGAAAACTGACTCTGATTGACACCAGGGTGGGGCTGCTGAGATTTTAACTGTCAAAGTTACCTTTAATCCTTGACAGTAGTACAGGGATTATACATCCACACTGATTTATAACGGACCTCAGCTTTTTAAGGGGTGAAAAAAAGTTCAGGGGAATACCTTAGGGGGCTGCCTGACAAAAAGTGTTAGGTGAATAAAGATGTTTCATAGGGTGTTTTTAGATTTTCCCATAGATCAAGAGAATTATCTGTGGGGTGACAGGATGGTGATGAATGGAACAGTCTGTTATATGTGACAAGTAAAACACTACTTCCTTTGCTGCAAATGTAGAGTCCTTCTGACTCTTTTAGCTTTAAATGTTTTTCCAGGTCATTGTTTGACATATATAGATAATTATTAGCCAGATCCACAAAGGTAGTAATTTTAAACCAAAACATAGTATAGTATCAAACAGCATCAGAATGAGATTATGTTTGTTAGCCACAGTCTCTAAAAAAGGATCATTCTAATATTGTGCAGTTATCAAAACAGTAGTTTTTGCTTTAGTACATTGTTTATCAGTTCATAGTGAAGATTCAACTATTTTTTTAAAGATGAAAAACACATGTTCTATTCTGCATGACCTTCACTGGCTTCCCATCACCTGCAGAATTCAATACAAAATCGCGCTCATCACCCATCAGTGTTTAAACGGATCCTCACCGGATTATCTGAAGGACCTTCTCACTCCACATTCATCCACCAGATCTCTTCGATCACAAGACAGCAACTTCCTTCACCTTCCTCGCTCCAGATTAAGCTCCATGGGAGATCGGGCCTTCGCTGTCGCTGCCCCCCGTCTCTGGAACTCTCTCCCAGATCATCTGAGAGCTCCACAACCACTGAATGATTTTAAAAGAGGCTTGAAGACTTTTTTATTTAAGCAAGCCTATTCTGCCTCCACATGATTTTTATGTTGTTGATTTTTATCTTTGATTTTATTTGCACTGTGTAGCACTTTGAGATTTTTGTTAATGACCACATGATTTTTATGGTTGATTTTTATCTTTGATTTTATTTGCACTGTGTAGCACTTTGAGATTTTTTCTTAATGAAAAGTGCGGTACAAATTGGATTTATTATTATTATTATTATTATGTGCAATACAAAACTTCATCAAAACAAAAAATGATCAAAGTACATTAAACAACACAACCTTGCAGACTCACACCTAAGGAGAATTTAGAGAAGCCAATTAACCTAACAGTCATGTTTTTGGACAGTGGGAGGAAGCTGGAGTACCAGGAGAGAACCCAACATGCACAGGGAGAACATGTACACCAGGGCAGGGAATCGAACCCAGAACCTTCTTGCTGCAAGGAAGCAGTCCTACCCACTGTAACCCCGTGCAGCCCGGGATGGATAGATTTAGAAATTAAAATCATGTATCCCGGTATGAAGCTGCACTCAGTACACAAGCTTCCTGCGGGTCAGAAACATTGGCCAATAAAGTTGATCTTTGCAACATTGCAAACTCCTTTCAAATAAATATACACAGAAAAATTTAACAGGAGCAGTGACAAGTGCTGACAAACTCTGGCATTGACGATAAAAGGTATGGTATTGAATCAACTGAGTAGATGAAAGCTAAAATGTTCCACTTCCTTCCTTTAAAAATGTCTGCTGTTTTTACTTATATTACTTAGTATAGTCTAGCTGTTTTTCGTAGCATCTCCAGTGAATTTGGCCTGAAAGCCAAAAGGAAAAGGGATAATCTAAAAATATTTTTTCTTTCTAATTACTTTAAAGGCCTTAAACATCTGCACTCTTAATGTAAAAAAAATAACTATGGCTAAAAGGTTATCAAAAATAGGTAAATATGGTATCAGGAATAGCAGAGTACAGCTAATTAACATAAATGCATTCTCAGTGTGTCCTTTTACCAACATTGAAGCCTGGCTGTCATGGTTTGAGGAGCCGTGTTAGTCCGTATCAGCGCTCCGCACCCTGCTGCTGCGCTCTATACATAGAGAGTGACTTAGAGGTGCTAAGCCTTCACACCATAGAAATAGATTCATCATGAAAGCTGCACAAAGACAGATGAAAATTCAATAAATCCAACTTAAGTGTCCCAAGTCAAGTCAGCATCATGGATCCCAACCAAACATAGTTTAAGGTTAAGTGTAAAGGCTTAAAAACTGCATTAAATCCAAAACATTAATTATCACACAACAACCAAGACAGTCTGGATCTAAATATTTTTGTCATTATAAAAGCATACAGAGGATCATTGATGATAAATATTTCAGTTATCATGTAGCATCAGCACAGGCTGCACATCTGATCTCTATATATTTAGTCTAAAGTATTATAATTAAAATGCTTTGCACATTGTTACTGGAATTTACAGATTCAGTTACGTCACAAACACAACATATTTAAAGATACATTAGCTCCCATTTGGTTGTTGAAATTGAATATCATGACTGAGGTATTAAACAGTCTCAGTTTTCTTACAGGATGTATATTGTGTGATGCCACAAACGCTTACTCCCACATTACACTTGTACTCCTTTCAGCGTCAGCATTAATTATAACATCATATCTGTCGGCAGCCACCAGGAATGAATCGTTGTGGTAAAGACTTGGCCACACATCTTTACACAAAGCCATGTGTTATTAAAGCCATAAGTGGTGGCAGATTGTGACCAAACACTGCAGCAGGTTCTCAGCTTATCTGTGCTTTTTGAGGTGTTGGGCTTCTGTTTTCTGCAAGAAATAGTTGCTTACTAATGCAACATAAGGCGGCGTTATACTTCCTTATCCAGGTTAAATAAGCAGATGTGGTATATTTCCACAAATATTCATATTAGGAATTAGGAGTTTATTGTGCTACTAAGTGTTCCACCAAGCAGGCCAATCGTCTATCTTAGTAGAAGAAATCCTTAATCCAATTAGAATTATGATTTAGGGTTATATTTTTAGCTTGAACTGTTTTTAAGTTTTTGGTGATAATCATCATCAGAGCAATAGATTTCACAACTGAAAATAGTTTTATTTCAGTAGTAAGGACAAATGTATCTCGTACTTGTTTTATTGTATAAAATATGCATTAGGGAATTTACTAATAATGCTGCCAAATGTGGCCAAAACACAGAACTGCAACACTCTTCTACTAGTGCTCCTACGGTACTTACGTTTTATTTTTTAAAAGTTTTTACTTGAGCTGGCAGCCAAATATCCACAAAATTACTCCTTAATATGACAATTGTTTGCTAGATTTGGACTCGATTAACATTGACGTCACAGCCGCCGAACAGCGCGGAAACTTCTGACCCAAAGTAGATTCAGGAAAATACGCTACAAGCTGATAGATGCATTGGAGCTGAACAACTGAGGTACCTGTCTGCTCATCAAATAATGTTTGAGTTGTAAAGGGTCAAATAAAATGTTATTTTAAAGATAATTTTCAGTAAAAAACACAAAATGTCTCTTTAAGTATGACTCATTAAAGAAGGAGAGTAAATGTGGTTGTGTAGGTATAGATTGTTATTAATTGTGCAGGTATAGGTATTATCAAAGTATGTCTGAGTCTGAGAAGATAGGCAACACAAATGAGTTGAAGAACTTAGAAGAACCAATATTCACAACATATTCTAGTTTTTTTACAGCCTATTTGGAACAGCTCATATTTCTTAAATGAATAAACATAAACTCACTCTATTTAACTTGATTCACTGCATCAAATAAAGGATAATAATAATAATGTAATCAATATAGAAAGAGAACTTTTTGCTGCATGAAAACACCTTATCCTGAACATTTTAACCAAATTACCTTTTGCTACCTGTAATACGTAGCTTAACTTCACTAGGTGGCCTAAAACAAACATTATACCTTACAAGAGGTTTTTAAGGAAAGTACTAACTTTGTTAAAGGGCGACACCAGAAGTTCCCATAATAATAAAATAATACATTTTGCTTTTATGATGCTTTATCCTCTTTTTTTTCCAGATTTCCAACACATCAGTGACCTTCTTTTCCCCTGCTCCTAGAACCTTTAATGGTTACATTAGAAGCCATTATTAGCCTTAGCACCCTAGTCCTAATTGATATTTGATGGATGTTGTGATCACGTCATTGTGTTGGAACAGTGTCCAGAAACTGAACCTAAACCCTGGAGAGCCAAACAGCAACCCTCTGATCCTCAGCTCTCACTCATGCAGCACATACCACAGCTTTGTGGCATAGCCAAGACAGGAGCAGTGATGCAGAGGAACAGATATGCCAGGAAGGACATAAAATGGAGATAAAAGAGAAAAGGGAGTGCAAACAGAGACACTACAGAGCTTATTCTATCTGTGTCTTTCTCCATCTAGTGGGACACCCTTACCTGCAGAGGGCCGCTGGCTGGCATGGTTGACCTCATTGATGCCAAGTCGATGTCGCGGCCCTGCTCTCCTCTCTCCGTCTTCCCCAGTCCCTGCATCATCAGGCCTGCAGCGAGCGGTCACAAAGTCGGATAAAATACTGTGTTGCTCTTACAGTAGCCGTAGTGGTTATGTGAAGATGGTGGCCGTTATGAAAAGGAGACGCACTGGATGCCAGGCACTGAGCATCAAGTAAAGCCAGAGAGGACAACAGAGGGACAAACAAATGGCTTATTCAGTCCGTCCTGGTCTCCTCCTCTCATGGAGTCACCCTACTTGTTCCGCACTCTGTCATCCACCATGTTCTAGATATAATGTACTGTAGGTTTGAAAACTTTAAGTACAAAAAAAAAAGTTTTTCAAAGAATGGACATTCAAAATTACCAACACTGAATGAAAGATTTTATATTATAAAGCTAGTTTGAAGCTGCTGAGAGAAAGTGAGCAGAACTTTAAAGCCTCATGCATTTAATAACATGCATTTGAAATAAAAAGTTCAATAATAGATACAGAAAACCGAAGAGGGCAGTGCAGATATTCTAAGATTAAAAAACTGAAGCTGCAAAAAGGACACAAAAATACATGATCTTTTGCTCTAACTGCATAGAAAAGACTTGTTAGAAAATAGGAGGTAATTAAGTGGTAAATGTATTGGTTGCAGGAGAGTCAGTATTAATCATTGCTCAGCAATGTCTGTCCATCACCCTGGGACTAGGGATCTCCATAGTAACCACCAGCTTTCCTATCCTTATTTTAAATAGTTTTTTTCCAAACTCATGCCCAATTCTTGGTCATTGACTTGGCAACAACTATTAAAGGTATAGTGGAGGATGTTCTTGTATGAGCAATGCAAACAGTAACTCTTAAACAGAGCGTGCACGAGGAGAAAGGGGCTCGTGCATGCTCTCACATGCTTTTAAAAGGTGTTTCCTCTCGTTAGTAGTTACAGGGTTATATGCATGTGAAGGTGGAGAAGGTGGGACTTTTCAAAAATTCACAAAAATCCTCCACGATACCTTTAAGGAAACACTGCAATGGCTGCTTGTTAGATACTAGACAACATTAATCTATATTGCTGATAATTAGACATGCTGTAACATTTAGCAGCATCCATTAACTTGGGTAATAAATGAATTACTATTTGAATGTTACTATTGCTAGTAATAATATTGAAACAACTGCCACTATTGGTCTGGATGTCATTAGGTCAGATACTGACTTCCATTACACTTGTTGTCTACTGGTGAGCAAGCATTAAAATTATTGACCAATCAGCATTCATGAATTGCATCACTATGTGAAGTATATGCTTTTGGCTGCTCCCAATATTCAATGGTTGCCACAGCAAGTTTTTCTGACATACTCACACACTCAAGTCTTTATCCTGGCTGTCCTTCCCGATGCAACCAGGATTCCCTCAAAACACTAATGTTTTGGCCAACTGGAGGGAAAAACTATTTAATGCTTGCATTACTTCTTTGGGTTTTTGTATAAATCTACTTGATGGAAGAATGCCAGCTGTAAGCAACTAAAATTCAGAAATACATTTATTTTTTTTTTACCTAACTGACCAGACAGGATGGTTAAACTCAGTTAACCATCCTTTTTCTTTGTTACATATCGTATTTTAGATATGTTCTAGATTAAGTAAAATCTTTCATGTTCAAATCAACTTTTCTCCAGGCTGGGCAACCTATTAATTACAATCATTCTGTTGCAGTGTACTAAGTGACACGCTGCTTAGAGCTGTTTCATTTCCTTTGAGTTACCTAAACCTCCAGAAACTCTTGTAATTTGAGCCGATGCTGCCTGTAAAAATGGCTTTGTTATCGCGGCTTCTTGCTCCTTCTCTCTGCCGTCTTTTAAAGATTTTGAGGTTTTGTGGCAGCTGTTCGTAAGCCTATGATGGCTTGTTTGACTTATGTGTACTTTATTGGGCTGAAAGTTACCAAGTTAATCCCTAAATTGGAGGTTAAACACAAACCTTCCCACCCACAGACATTTTGTTTCAGTTCCTAGAAGAATCTTACATAAGACTGCTGGTTCAGCCAAACTTCTGTATTTTCTGGTTCCAAGAAAAGAAAAGTGAGTATTTGGAGAATGACGTTTACTTATCCTCCTCCAAAAGATAAATCCTTATGTAGACAGAATGGCTTAAGTTATTCAGGAAGCATGTTTGCCTATCTCTCCCAAAGTGAGGTTAGTGCCAGGTGGATAATTATTACTTTAGTTTTGGTTTACTTAAGAAGTATGACTGAGGATTGAGAGGGAGTGCATTCACAGATTCTGGACTGATCATGCATTTCCATCTTTCCTTATATTTGGCTTTAGGAAATTTAAGGACCTTTCTAATCTTTTGATGGGGTTGAGCCATTGCTCTAAAGTCTTTCTGCAATGGGGCCTTCAGAGTTCTTAGTTGGTAAATGTTCAGTGTTTACAGAAGTTCAAATCTAGGACCTTGATGGTAATAAATTAATCTTTTTTTAAGCCATTTCTACCACACATAAGTATGATGCTTAAATAAGGCACCTAATATATGAGATGGAGCATCATTTTGTAGAAATATGAAAAAACTTATAAAGATAAGAAGTAAATGATTGAAAAAATATTTTATTTTTTAAAGTTGAATGTCTCAGACTGTGACTAACAGCAGTGTGATTAAAAACCTGGCATGCTTTCAGTAAGTTTAAGATGCAAATATAGTTTTCATCCTATTAGCAATAATATTTAGGTAGTAAACTGTGTGAAGGTATGAGTTACTACAGTTAAGACCTAACCACAGAGCCCAGTCATGCTTTGAGAAGTTTGCCAAAGTTTTAACTGAAAAGTCCTTAAGGGAAATAGGATTGCCAAGTGGTTGTTCTGAGGAAACAGAAACGGGAAGCAAATGTATAGGTGTGTCAAATTACTGAGGAGTTGGGATAAAATTCACCAGCAGCAAGTCCTGTGGAGTCATGCCTTTCTGGAATGAGCTACAGCAGCTACTATTTAGAGGCATTTTGAAGGCATGGCAGAGGATGTGTCATGGTTTGTGGCTGCATTTCACCCAGAGTAATTGGCCTTGAGTAAAATACTGATTTAATCCTGCATGAGATAAAATATTAACATTATGATCATCTGTTTACAACCCAGTAAAGCATCAGAGTGGCCTCCTATTTTGCAGCTGGTTTCTTGTCTATATCCTCCAACCTTCTTTCATGTTTCTGTATTCTGTGCATGTTTGAAGTTGGTTTCATTCACTTTTTAATTTATGAAATAAAGTTCACCCATTATTTTATAATTAAATGGGAAGATGACCATCATCCTGCATCAGATTTAAAACTCAACAATTAGTTGCTTTTTTCTTAGGATGAAAGAATCCTTTTTTTAAATCAAAGAAAAGACCCGTATGAAAGGTATGAAAGGTATGAAAGTACCTCCACCTTCACCATCAGTTTAGACTATAGTGATGAGACAATAAATCTATATTTTTTCCTCTATGACATGAAGGGATGCAGAACAGGAGGTATTCTGTGCACGGTGCCACACTGAGTGTCATTTGTGCATGTTATAACTTTATGTTCAAGACTTGACTTTTAAAACATGAGAAAAAAAATATGTATATATTTCTGCTCTAGTCCATCTATGGATGGTTCCAGTAGCCAATTTGTCATCAAGTTGCCCTGGTTGCCTAGCAACTGACACAACTGACCTTGTTAACCCGGGCTCTTGTATTTGTGTTACCTCAAGTTTCACTCATGCCTGAGGTAGGCCACTAAGCACAAAGGACCTTGCCTAAGGGTCCACCTGGATGTCCATGCCAGGAATCGAATCCATGGTCACCTGTACCGGAGTCGTCAAGTTTGGGATAGCTCAGATTCCAGGTAAAACATCAGAGGTCTCTGTCCAGAAGAGCGCAGTCCTAGGAACAGCTAAGATACTGCGCAGAACCCTCAAACTCCCAGGCCTCTGGTAGAGGACCCAAGCTTGAGGATGACACATACCACCCCACGAGGGGTGAGAAAACAGTTTTTTATATATATATATATATATATATATATATATATATATATATATATATATACATATATATATATATATATATATATATATATATATATATATATATATATATATATATATATATATATATATATATATATATATATATATATATATATATATATATATATATATATATACACACATATACATATATATACGTATATATATGTATATGTGTGTGTGTATTTTTATATATATATATATATATATATATACATATATATATATATATATATATATATCTTTGAAATTTGAAGAACTCAAATTTATATTTATCTAGCATTTTTTTTTTTCAACAAAATGCTTTTACTCTGACTAATTGCAGTAGAGTCAACAATAAAATCCAAAGGAATATCTCCTGTCGACACATGCTCATCCAGGAGCAGTGTGTCATGCAATTCAATGATTCAATGCAATCAACTGCTTTTCCTTGGATAGAAACTTAACAATCTGAATGAATATTCTGATGGAATTGTCTTTGTAAAGTGCCTTGAAATTATATGTTTTATGAACTGGGTCTATGTAAATGGAATTTATAAAAATTCATATAGGTGCAATTTGGAGGCAAGCGCTTTTGCAAAACTTGCCTCTTATACCTCAGATCTATTCACATTGTATCTGCTTTTTATCATAAAAGTCATGACCACTCACAGTGGAGTTATTTCAAGTGACAACCAAGCATGATATGAAATACTGTTAACCATAACAGTCAGCTTCTTTCCTTGATTGTCCTTTCACTGTCTCTAATTCTTTAATATTTTCTGCATCATTTCATACGGGTGGGATAAACAAGACAAAATAAAATCTAAAACCAAAGGGTAGCTCTGCAAATAGTATCTAGAATACTTGACTTGTGTTATAAATTTCAATGTATTTCTGCATGTTTTCCAAAATGCAGTTAAGCTTTTCAGATGGAATATTTATCTAATAGACCTCTTCAAGGAACTATATCTGCAAATCACCATTTTGGACTGTGAGAAATAACTTATTTATGGCAGTGAGCTATACAGATGAAACTGACTTGACTGGGCTTGTGGGGAAGCCCTATAAACTAATCTCACAGTCACACATATTTTTTTCCTTAGTACATTCTTATCGCTGAATTAATACAGTTGCTTCACCCCTGGAGTCATCTGAATAAAAAAAAAAATGACTCATGTTTCAGGAGATAAAAAA